CTTTGTAGTGAGATCTGACAGAGAGAGAAATTCAGAGAGAGACGGAAGAAGAGAGGTATGGTGTGACAGCTTTCCTAGATGAGGAGTTTGTGGTGGCCTGCTTTGCAGTATGAGCGAGCTTCCTGTAGAGATCAGAGAAAACTGCCTGTTTGGGAGGGAACAGAAAGCGGCTATGAGAAAGACCTGGGCACCAGGAACTGTGATCCAGCAGGAGATAGCTGGATAGTTTCATCATGTAATTTTGAGCTTTATATTAATAAATCATGATCCTAGTAAAGGGAAGAAAACTGGGAAAACCTCTTCAGCCTGCAACAGGGCTAAGTGTTGGAAAAGGAAACTAAGGCAAAACAGCAAGAGTACCTGCAAAGGTAGCAGTGATAGATCCTAATATAGTGATGAAAAGGAAAAGGCCCAGCTTGCTAGGTCTTGTTCTGTAGCTTTTCTATTATTGGAAGAAATGTACATTGCTAGATATGAATAACAGCAACAGCTCAGAACGTTGTTCCTTGGGTATTTTGCACAGATCTATGCTGATATCCTCCAAAGACATGCAAGCTGTCCTCCAGGCATCTATATGGAGATTCTCACAAAGCAAGGCAGGAGAACAACTGAGACCATCCTATCAATGCTTCTAGGGGTAAGCAAACTGAACCTCTGATGGCAGTGGAAGCTGCCATGAATGTTCATAGATCCTGGCCTGATATCCCCACCTCAAGGACCTCAGTGATACTGCAGTGCAGGAACTAGAATGTGTGGGAAAAGTAACAGCCTGGAGCTGGAAGGGCTTCTCCTCATCACCACTGCCTGCTAGGGTCTGAAATCCTGCAAACTGTTCTCGTAAGGTTTCTTCAGCTCCTAGCGTTTACTGTCTGACCTTTTCCTTTAACCTGTCTGTTTTCTAGGCTTGATCCCGATCCCTGGCTCTGGTCTGGTCATTAAGTGTGAAAAGTCAGCCACAGTGCTCTACTTCAGTTTAACAATTGTGCCTGATTGAAAATAGTAAAAAGGAACAGTGCAGGGGAGAGAGAGCAAGCATGTGCATGCCATTGCCATATCCATTTACTCTCTGACTCTTCAAACACCCTAAGAAAGATGAATACTGACAGTGAGACAGAAACCTGCGAGCAGTGTGGAGAAAAGAAATGCGGTAAGGGTCTCCAAAACCAGTCCCCACTAGGCAGCAACCTGCAGCTGGCCCAAAGACTCTGAGTATAGTTCTCTGAACTGGGAATATCTCCTAAGCCCTCTATTAAAAGGTCAATATGGTCCCTGGTCTGTGGAGGTAGGTCAGAGGAGGTGCTGAAAGGGAAACTCTTGAAAGTGATCTTTCCCAGGCAGAAATCATCAGCAGAGAACTTTAAAACCAAAGTGGATGGTAAAGTCTCAAAGCCTTAGTGGTAACATTTAAAAAAGGGCCAAGTGTCATTTTCAACAGTGATTCAGGAACCAAATCCAAAAGGGAGTTAAGCAAGTAAAAGCTTATCCTGAAACATATATATATATCTGTTCTCTTCCAACAACGGCGCGTGTGCGGAACCTGAGCTTTGCTTGGGACTGCTCTGGATGGCATTGTCACTGTGTAAGTTTGCTAGTAATTATACCACTTCCTCTTAGGTCAATGACTACTGAAGGTAGTGTGTATCTTTACACTACAGTGAGCTTTGGAATAAGTTCCCTGGAGTCATTTCATAAAGCACCAAGGGGAAGCTTTCATCTCCTAAAATATTAGCTCAATTTCTGGTTAACTGTTTTGAGTGTATAGAATAAAATTGTAAAGAAAGAGAATGATCTACTTCACCAAAATCAGATCTTGTTCCAAACTTGAAGCGTTTTCTAAGCACTAAGGAGAAATGTAAGAATCCAAAAAGCACATTCAGAAACTGTGATCATAAACTAATCTTCTAATAGGTATTTGTTCTTTCATTCAAAGTATGGATTTTCACTCAGATTCTAATACCTGTTTATGTATCACCCAAATGCATCTCCAGTAGGAAAAAACTAGTGGTCTTCTCAGTGAAGGCAAAGTCATTGTGCTTTGAAGCTAACTGGATTCCCTGGAGGGATGTTCCCCTGCAGAAACAATATTCCTAACTGTGTTGAATAAGCTGTACTACTATTCATCTTATATCATTTCAGGTGACCTCATTTTTCATAAGCTCTATTGCTATGACCTCTACATCCCATCTGCGCCTGCACCACGGAACAAGGAGCAAATAGATGTTGACAGATTTATTAATGAGAATATTGTGGAAGTCCTGGAGAATGATGATTACTGCTGTTACCATGGTTGCAGGAATTTCATTGGCGGAGAGATCATCATGCAGGCCATGCAGAAACCCATGAAAATTATCCCTGTTACACTTATACCAGTGTACAAAGACCAATATTTCCTAAGCCTTTTAGATATGCTTATAACTGCAGATAAGCTGAGGAGAATAGTGTTACTTTTGTTTGATTCTACTTATATTAGACCCAATCTATTGCAATGTTGCTTTTCAGTAGAAGTAAATGACCCACAACTTTTGCGCAAAATAAGGAAAACCATAGACCGTCATAGAAGATTGATTCCATTGAGCAGAAGGCAACAGGTAGTATTGAAGGAAATGGACCCAGGTAAGATCATAGGTCTTGTCATGTTTAACCGTTGGATTCATTTAATTTAAAGTTTACTTTGCGATGGAGAGGAAAGGGAGGGTGACAACTTGGAAAGAGGTAGTTTCAAGGTACTGGATGTTAGAGTTTGCCCAGCAACACTAGCACAATTTTTGCCAGATTTCCTCCATCAATCAAGACTTCCTCTATCAGTTTATCTAGGGCACAAGCTGGGTCAGTGGTTTGTTATATAGACATCAGACTGATCTATGACAGCTCACTTCAGGGAGGATTTTAAACGATCCCCTTACTTTAAAGTGCCTAAGGCTATGTCTACCTATACAAACCCCATGATGAGTCAGACGTGCCTAATTTGGGTACAGTTCTAGGCTCATAAATGGTTTCTAAGGCAGACGTATCTCATGCTGCACCAGCTAGAAACACAGGCAGAACAAAGACACTCTGTCTGCACTTCATGAGGTAATATATCCTCAGAGTCTTACCAACACAGTCCTGTGATTGATAGTTTTTTTAAACTTTTCTGTCTGTGCAATCTAGATCTTTGGTCTCAGAGGGAGAGAGAAAAATATATTCTGCTGAAATGTAAAAGCCCTCTAATGCCTCCTGAAATAAATTCATTAGTTGACCTAAAAATACCTTGCCTAAAGAATTCTGAGAAATGTTAGTGCTCCATTGAGGTTTGTGTAGGTTGAGGAGAAGCTGAAAGCTTTTCTTTCCAATTGTATGAAACTATCCTTCATATTTCCAAATAGCCAGAGGGATCTAGGATATTCAGGCCAACACTGTGTAGAACTGATTGTGACTTTCTGGCCATTGGTTTAGTATTCAGTTAAAGGACACAGTTTTTGTGATATATTTTCAGTGTCTGACTTAGATTTTGGGAATTATCTCAGTAGTGGAACCCACAAGTATCTTTTTCAGTGCTTCTTATTGTGCTGAACACTTCACAGTACAGATAGAGAAACACAGTTGCTGTGCCTGAAATTCTAAACCTCCCAGGAAACCTGTGTCTCTGCATGCTGCCAGAGAAGTAGCTCTGCGCTGATTTGGGAATATGTACCCAGCACTAAATACACACACAGGGACAGGTACTAAACATCAGTCACAAACCAGCTTGCTTGTTTTATGTCAGATTAGACATGATTGTGCCTTTTGTTTATTTATATTCTGTGTTATCCTGGAGAAAACTTGCTTAAGTTGACTTCCTGTCTTCTCTTTTCAGAATCTACTTCATTGCCCTCATCCTCCACAGGCAGAGATTGTAAGTGCTTTTAGCATTTTGCATATACACCTGCTGCAGAATGTCTGCAGGAGAACAGAGCTGGATTTAGCCAAGTAATGTTTCTGTGCTCCCTGTTTGTGTTACAGCCCCTTTCAGGAGGTCAGATAGATCAAGAGAGTCATTCAGGCCATTCTGGAGACACCATGGCACCTTTTCCTCCAGCAGGAACTCATTCTTGCCACTGAAGCACAAAGTGCTTCCTCACAGAGGTACTACTCTTGCGCTTACACTCCCAAACACAGAGGGCTCCCACCTAGCAGTAGGAGGACTTTGTTGCAACTGAATTTAGGAACTTCCATGTCCCACACGAAAGACTTCTGCTTTTGCAGTTGTGCTCTTGCTATGCAAAATAAAGGCCATATTTATCTGCATCAGAGTAAATACTGGAAGTTGATTCATACAGGCATAGTCTTTTACTTGGTGATGGTTAATAAATGGTGCATTGGAGCTGGAACAAAGATGGATTTTTAATGGAGCAATAGGTAAGCCAACAAACTGCAAAGGAAAGAGCTGGTGGGGAAAGCAAGCATGAACTGTATGTCTCTTGCTTATGGCATTAAGCGTACATCTGATTGACTAGCGAAACTAGCTGAACGATAAAATACAAGTGAGGTAGGAGTTATGTTACAGTTCAGTTTGAGTCTCAAAGGGCTAGATATTCTTAATGGGCAAGAATTAGTTAAAATATGGATTGTCATTCATGTATGTGTAGCTTTCAGTGCTTCTCTGAACCAGCTTCTGGTCTCACCATAATCAATGGTAGGACTTCTCCTCTTCCAATTCTTCTCCTCCGAGAGGGCAGTAGACGGATTCTTTCATAAAAACACGAGATGGAGGCAGGTTTTGGCTGTTGAGCCACATTCAGGATGAATATGCAGCTTTGTATTCTGGGATATCTTTTAGGAGCAGTTGTGTGCAAGCTGTGGCTAGTGGGAGAAACTGTTCTTGTCAGGACGCCTAACAGAATGGCAAGGAGTAACTCTCTTCTGTATAATGTGCATTTCTGACATTTTGTAAGTGTGTTTATTGCTACTTTCCTGGTATCGTCCCAACCCACATTCTCTTTTCTGAGGACAGACTTAGTGAGTAGCATTCCCTGAAGGTGATGATCCAGTACAGAAACCAGCTGGAAACTATGGGACGGTTCCAGGTAATACATGTTTATTTTGTTTTCTGTCCAGAAATTGAAGATATCCTGAAAGAAATGTCCTACACACCTTTTCAAGAGCACGGTGATTATTTTCTGAGATACTGGGATGCTAGCAATGAGTGGAGCAGACAACGTATTTGTCAGGTGTTGATCAGAAATATCAGGAGGGACTTTCTGACTTTCTGTAAGCTGGAAGACCTGGAGAGCTTGGAGCTGAGAGCAAGAAAACTCATCCAGCACAACAGCTCAGCTTCTAACCAAGACCTTTGCATTCAGAAGGAGAAACTATATTGCTGGATTCTGGCAGCGATGTTTGTTCATGTTTCCACAACAAACAACGTGAAACTTAAAGCTCTGCTGAGGGGAATGGTCTTTGTAAAACACACTGTTCCTTCAGGGGAGAGAAATTATGAGTATCTGTGCATTAGTGCCTACCAAAAAATCAGAGCAGCCATCTCCATTGCTGTAAAGAAGCAAAGGCACTGGCCAAATTTCATAGAAACATATCTGAAGCACTTGGAAACTTT